CTTAAAACTTAGCTGACATGTTGTGTTGAACTCCAGGTCACATGGAGATGCCATGTGTAAGTGTTCCAGCTGACAGCCCTAGTTGAGGTCATAAAAGTCAACAACAGATGAAGAAGTCTTCCAGGTGACTCCAGCCCCAGCTGAACAACCAACTGAACAAAAGACCTTGAGCAAAAATCACCTATCTGAGCCCAGTCACCCCCCAGATTTGTCAACATAACAAACAATTGCTATTGTTTTAAGCCACTGTTTGGCTTAGTTTGTTATATAGCAACAGATAAAATGACAGGTTCTTTTCTTTCCAATTCTTACGCCTTTTATTTCTTATTCCTGCTTACTATACTGCCCAGGATCAAAAACATAATATTAAGTAGAAGTGGTAACAGTGGGTATCCTTTTATCATGTCATCATTAAGAGTGATGTTGTAGGCCTGGTGCGGTGGCTCATGCCTGTAATCCTAGCACTCTGGGAGGCCGAGGCGGGCGGATTGCTCAAGGTCAGGAGTTCGAAACCAGTCTGAGCAAGAGTGAGACCCCGTCTCTACTATAAATAGAAAGAAATTAATTGGCCAACTGATATATATAGAAAAAATTAGCCAGGCATGGTGGTGCATGCCTGTAGTCCCAGCTACTTGGGAGGCTGAGGCAGGAGGATCGCTTGAGCCCAGGAGTTTGAGGTTGCTGTGAGCTAGGCTGACACCATGGCACTCACTCTAGCCTGGGCAACAAAGCGAGACTCTGTCTCAAAAAGAGTGATGTTGTTGAAGTTCTATCTAGTTTGCTACATGTAGTTTTTATTAATCACCAGCACTATGAATTATATTTATGAGATTTTCTATGAAGCGACACTTACATTCTTAAAATAAAGTTAATATGAACATAACATATTATCTTTTTTATATATTGCTGTATTCAGTTTGCTAAACTTTTGTTAGGATTTTTACAGCTATATTCACAAGGAAGATAGGCTTAGAACTTTCATTTCCGTTAATGAATGGTTTGGCTAGCAAAGTTCTATAATGGCCTCATAGAAAGAAATGGGAGTATTCTCTTTTTTCCTATTATCTTGGAGAGTTTGCTTCATTATAAAATACACCTGCAAAACCAACTAGCCCAATTAATTTCTTTAACCGTAACAGGACTTTTCAGACTCTGTACTGCTGCATGAGTCAGTTTTGGTAAACTATGTTTTTCTTTTCTTTTTCTTTATTTTATTTTAGCGTATTATGGGGGTACAAGTGTTAAGGTTACATATATTGCCCATGCCCCCCTCCCTCCTCGAGTCAGAGCCTCAAGCGTGACCATCCCCCAAACGCTGCACATCTCACTCACTATGTTTGTATATACCCGTCCCCTTCTACCCCCTCCCACCTGCCCGACACCCAATTAAACTATGTTTTTCTAGGAATCTGTTCCATTTCTCCTAAATGATCCCATTTATTATCACAAAATCATTCACAGTATTCAATTCACTTAATTCCTTTTACATCTGTGTTTATGTTCCCCTTTTTCTCTTAATATTGTTTATACGTATCCTCTCTCTGTTTGATTGTTCTTGCTCACTCTTGCCAGAGTTTAGTAGTCTTATGAAGGAACTAACATTTGGTTTTGCTGGTTCTTTGTATTATAACTTTTATTCCTATTTCTGTTCTTTGTTTTAAATTATTCCCTTACTGCTTTGTGCTTATTCTGTTATTTTTTACTCTAAATTAGGTTAGACAGCATAACATTTGTTTTTAATATAAACATTTATAGCAATATGTTTTTTGGGCAGTACTGTTTTTGCTGCTTTATGCAAGTTTTGGTAAGTAGTTAAGTTTAAGTTTTCATTGTGACTTTGTCTTGACCTCCGTATTATTTAGAAATGTTAAAATTTCCAAATTTATGGAATTTTTTTTTTTGAGACAGAGTCTCACTCTGTTGCCTGGGCTAGAGTGCCATGGCGTCAGCCTAGCTCACAGCAACCTCAAACTCCTGGGCTCAAACAATCCTGCTTCAGCCTCTCAAATAGCTGAGACTATAGGCATGTGTCACCATGCCCGGGTAATTTCTTTTTATTTATAGTAGAGATGGGGTCTTGCTCTTGCTCAGGCCAGTCTAGAACTCCTGAGCCCAAGCAATCCTCCCGCCTCGGCCTTCCAGAGTGCTAGGATTACAGGCGTGAGCCACCGCACCCAGCCTGGAATTTTTATCTTCTTCTTAATAATTGATAATTTGCATTAAGATCAGAGAATATGGCCTATAATATAGCAATTCTTAAATTTCAAGATTTACTTTATAGCCTAGTTGATGGTCCTTTTTTTTTTTCTTTTTACATAAGTCCTCATAAGTCCTATAAGAACATGCATTTTCTAATTGTTGGATATAGGATTCTCTATATTTTTCGTATTAACAGTGTTGTACAAATTTTTTTTTTCTTTTAAAGAGACAGGTTTTCACTCTGTCACCCAGACTGGAGTGCAACGGCACAATCATTGCTCACTGTAGCCTAAAGTCCTGGGCTCAAACCATCCTCCCACCTTAGCATCACAGGTAGCTAAGACTGTGAGTACACGCCACCATGCACCACGCCCAGATAATTTTTAAATTTTTCTGTAAAGACACTATGTTGCCCAGACTGGTCTCGAACTGCTAGCTAGCCTCAAGGGATCCTCTTGCCTCAGTCTTCAAAAGTTCTGGGATTATAGACATTAGCCATCATGCCTGGCCTGATTTACTTCTTTACAAATACTGTCTTCCTTCTTAAGAAGCCCATGAACATGGACTTGTCAATTTCTCCCCATAATTCTATTCATTTTTACTTAATACATGTTGAGGCTACTTTATTAGCTGCATACAAATCTCAAGGCTAACATCAACATTTAATTTAAAGTAGCTATGCCATTTGCTGAGATCATTAAGGGGGAGGCAGGAAGCCTAGAAGTTTTTCTTACTTCTTCCATACCCAGTAACTCATTAAAAAAAGATTATTTATTGAGAATCTTCTTGTTTTGTAACAGCAACAAACTATGGACTATATAACCTGACATACTACTGGAACCATAAGTCTGTGTTAATTTCCTTCAAAATCTGGCTGTTTCACAAGGATGAACTTTGAGAATATTATGTCAAGGGACATAAGCCAATCACAAAAAGACAAAACTGCATGATTCCATTATATATTTGGTATCTAAAAATAATCAAACTCTTAGAAAGTAGAATGGCAGTTGCCAGAGGATGGGGGTTCAGGGGAGAAGAAAATGCTGGAGAGTTGTTATTCAAGGTGTATAGTGATTCAAGATGGGAAAATTCTAGAAATCTATTGTATAACAATGCATACACAGTTAATAATACAGTAATGTACACCTACAATGTCTAGAAGGGTAAATCTGTGTTATGTATTTTTTACCACCCTCTGCCAACACAGAAATTGACTGTCCAGTGAAAAGAGATGACAGTTCACTAAACTACTGCTGGCACTTCCTTTTAGAATAGTAAACAGATTTCTACCTGTATATCAAATAGTAAGGAATATTTCAAAATTTGGCAATAATCTCTAATAACATAAACACATTCCCAAGGTGACCATTAAAACCTACTTCTCTCTTTTCAAACAACCAAGTTCTAGCCCATCTCTTTTATGCTGTCTCATAGCTAACTGAGGCAACTCTGAGTTGTGCCAATTATAGGATAATTGTGGATTTCTTCAAATTCTTTCTATTTCAGAATTGGCCTTTTCCTTTAAGTTTCCCATATTCAGACTTCCAAATGTAGTTTCCATATGTCAGTCTGAGTACTGGTGCCAAAGTGGGTTTAAAAGAATCATGTAAGAAGACTATTTAAAAATACAGATTTCTAGACCTGCTAAATCCAAACTTAAAAAGAAAGATCCGGGACTGAATTTTTTTAAAAATTATTTTTCCATTCCCTTTTATCTCACAGGCTACCATTCATTCTATCAAAGGCCATCCCTGACTCCTTATGCAGAGCTAAGTGCCTCTTGTCAGCTCCACCAATACATTGTCATATCCAGCAGTATCTATAATTACATATTTATCTCCTCCTCAACTATGCTGTAAATTGTCAGAGGACAATGAGCGTACACTCATCATTGTAGTCTCACCACACAGCATAGCATCAGACATACAGCTGGTTTCCTGAACAAACAACTGTAAAGTATCTATTATGTACAGAAACACAAATTTAAATGATATGACTGTAAAGTATCTATTATGTACAGAAACACAAATTTAAATGATATGATGACTACCAGTCAGAAAAGGTGTATCAGTATCATCCCAAGAGCTTTTAAAAAACACATTCTTGGGCCCATCTGGACTTAGTGAAAATGAACCACCATCTACTGCCTATTTCCATGAACTCCTCTATTCGATGAGAATACCACTCATGGGAAAGTGGTTGTTGAGTTGATATTTGTAGAAGGGGACTTTGATTGAAATGGGTCAAAATGAGGGAAGGAGAAGAATATTTCAAAAAGGGAATGACATATTTGAAGACACTGAGGTGTTGAAAAACAGTCAATAAAATTCCAAGTGATTCAGTTTTCCTGAAATGAATAATTTATGGGAAAATGGCTAGAAAAAATTTAGAGGTGTGTTCCCAAAAGGTCTAGTATGATAATGCTAAAAAAGTTTAATTTTTTCATAAACAGTTATAGAGCACTATTGGAGGAAAGAGAGGAAAACAGACTTATGTAAAGATTATATTATATAAAAGAGTACTCTCGGCACAGTGGCTCACGCCTATAATCCTAGCACTCTGGGAGGCTGAGGCGGGAGCTCAGGAGTTCGAGACCAGCCTGAGCAAGAGTGAGACCCCATCTCTACTAAATATAGAAAGAAATTAATTAGCCAACTAAAACTACATAGAAAAAATTAGCCTGGCATGATGGCACATGCCTGTAGTCCCAGCTACTCGGGAGACTGAGGCAAAAGGATGGCTTGAGCCCAGGAGTTTGAGGTTGCTGTGAGCTAGGCTGACACCACAGTACTCTAGCCAGGGAAACATAGTGAGACTCTGCCTCAAAAAAAAAAAAAAAGTCCAGTGGCAGTGGTGCTTCCCTGAATCTCGAAATGCTGGCTAAAAGATCACTGAAATTGGATGGTCTGGTAGAAGAAAATTCATTTGATTCTTAAAAAATCACAAGGAAACAAAGTATTATACCTTACTCTCCAACAACTGGAACTTGTCAAATGAGCCCATTTGCTTCTCCCAGAAGTTCTGAAGAACAAGAGCACAGAAATGGACCATCAAATGGAAAGAGAAAAAAATGTAATCCTCTCAGTTTAACTGAAAGAAAGGAATCTTCAATGGAAGACAATGATGAATTCATGATGTTGCTATCTAAAGTTGAGAAATCATCAGAAGAAATCATGGAGATAATGCAAAATTTAATTAGTATACAGGCTTTGGAGAGCAGTAGAGTGCTTGAAAATCTCATTGGTATCTCCGGTACATCATGTTTCTTAAAAAGAGAAATGCAGAAAACCAAAGAACTGATGACAAAAGTAATAAAACAAAAACTATTTGAAAAGAAGAGTTCAGGACTTCTTCACAAAGAATGTCATCCTGACAGCTATGAATTCCTTAAATCCCTTTTAAACTGAGGCATTTAGAAGAAATGCACTCACTATGAGCAGCAGCCTCTGCATCTGCCTGATCATATTTAAAGGAAGAGAGAAATATTTGTAATTAATCTGCCCAGTAAATACCAGCTCATAGCACTAGGCAGGTGCGTGTCTAGATAAAATTTCTTGCAGCTAATTTAAACTATCTACACACACCAGTAGATAATCTCAATGTAAATAATACATTTCTTCTTGACCCGTATTTTGTATCACATACATTTCTGTATACTTTTATCATTTGTGGATAGACTTAATAAAGCACATATGAAAATGGAAAAAAAAAAACCCTCATGTTAACAGTGTTAACACTACAGAATTATTCTCTCTAGATCAGTGATCCTCAGGCAGTGATTTGGAGGGGATAAAGGAGCACTTCAGTGTTAGAGCTACTGCCCACACCCCCATTTCCTGAACATATCTGCCACAACCACTGGTGTGATGAGCCCCAAGTGTCAGAGGAAGTCTTTCATATCCTCAAGGTACAACTGAAGAAAACCACTCTTCTAGCTACTTATCTTTACAAACACTTCTAACTGGTAAGGAAAAAAGTATTTAAGAGAAACATAATATTTAATAGTAATTTATAATAAACATGAAATATTTTAAGAGACTGTTTCTCATTTGTTTTGCCCAAAATCAGCCAATACATTCATTCATCATGGAAATGTACTTTGTCGACAAAGAAAAACACTCTATTCATATAAGAATAAAAATATGGGTTTTTTTCTCTAGTAACTGACAGATTTTCAGTGGTATACGCAAACCCTAAACACCTATAATCACGGACTACAATGTATTATATATAAAGGTATACAGTGTGAAGCCTTGAAGGGAGTGAAATTATTCAACCTATACAAGAGGATGTTGGCATGCTGGCACCATACCCTACGGGGTGGAAGGGAAGCAAAAACTTGAATGCAATCAATTTGATACTGTTTAAGTTCCTACTAACAAGTAACCCTAAAGAGAAAACCTATATTTAGCCCACTAAAATCAAACAAGGGGAAGCATGAAGTAGGAAGGCAGGCAATTTCATATGAATGAGCCATACCAATCAGAAGAAAAAGTAAAATCACCTTATGATAAACACATTTATAAACCCTAGTATATGATTGTTTACAAAACTTTATGGGGGGGGGTGTGTACATCATAATCTAAATGTCCAACTACAAGGGAACTGTTATGTAAAAGAATAATATATATCCATCCTCATTAGCATAGTGGTTAGTAATATATCCAAAAAAGAAAAAAGAGGCTGGACGTAGTGGCGCCTGCCCATAATCCCAGCACTTTGGGAGACTGAGGCAGTAGGACCACTTGAGACCAAGAGTTTGAGACTAGCCTGGGCAACATGGTAAGACCCCATTTCTACAAAGAAATTTTTAAAAAGCTGGGCATAGTGGTGTATGCCTGTAGTCCTAGCTACTTGGGAGGCTGAGGCAGGAGGATCACTTCAGCTGAGGAGTTTGAGGTTGCAGTGCTCTATTATCATGCCACTGCATTCCAGCCTGGGCAACAGAGCGTCACCCTGTCTCTAAAAACATTTAAAAAGAACAAAACAAAACAAACAAAGAATGTTATATCCAAAGTCACTGTCAAAGCCATTAAAAATTGTGTTTATAAGAGGAAAATGTTTACAATACCTTGCTAAGTAGGAAAAGACCTACGAATCACTATGTGCAAGCTTCTAAGCTAGACACAGTTATATATACTCCCAGCCCTTTGGGAGGCCCAGGTAGAAGAATTGCTTAAGACCAGGAGTTCTAGAGCAGCCTAGGTAACATAGAGAGACACCGTCTTGATAAAAAATCTAAAAATTAGCTGGGCATGATGGTGTATGCCTGTTGTCCCAGCTACTCAGGAGGCTGAAGTGGATCACCTGAGCCCAGGAGTTTGAGGCTGTAGGGAGCTATGATGGTATCAGTGCTTGAGTAACAGAGGAAAAAAAAATTAAAAAGATTCTAAATTTGAATGTATTTATTTAGAAAAACACCCAAAGAATATAAATCCAAAAGTTATTATTTTTTTTAAATCATGAGTTATTTTTCCTTACACTTTTCTATGTTTTACAAGTTTTCTGCAATGAGTACATACTACTTTCATAATTTGGGGAAGAAGAAATCAAACTTCACCAGTAAGTACTTTAAACAATACATATAAAGGCAATAAAATACTATGAAAAGGAAATATATATACGCATATATTATGTACACATATATGATTACAATTAAACAAAGAAAAATCATGCATCAAGAAAAAAACGATGATTGGGAAGTACACCAAAATAATGGTACTTGTGTTTGAAGGATGAAATAATTATGGGTAATTATTTTTTCCTGTCTATGCCTTGAAATTTTTCTTCAAAGGATGTGTATTATGTAACTAGAAAAAAATTACCACATTTATCAAACCTGACCCCAAACCCTCCTTTATACTGTATCCTCCTCTTAAAATACACCAAAACAAAACAAAACAAAAAAAAATAAACCAAAACATATATATACATGCACACAAACCCACAAGTACTTACATGGGCTTACATCTCTGTATCTGTTTCGATTTCTGTTTTCTGGAAACTTGGCCACTCTATGAGGATAGTCATGGGACTCATTTCGAATTTCCTTAAAATAACAAAAATATATTTTAATATCCTCTTTTTTAGTATCTCTCTTAAATTTTATACAGCAAAACATATTTTCCCAGCCAGTATAAAATAAAATGTATTAATCCCTTATGATACACCAAGTACTATGCAAAGGCACATTGTCTACATTGTCTCATTTAATCCTCACAAAACTAACAAATGATTCTCCTCCCATTTTATGTGTAAGGGACAACAGGCTTTACAGGCTTTCAGAGGTTAAACAATCCACCCAAAGTCATAAAGCTCATAAGTGGCAGCTCCCAGAACTAAACCAAGGTCCTTCAGGCACTGAAGTCTTGCGCTCTTGATCTATTTATTTACTGCTAACAGGGATCTATTCAACAGCTATAAGCAAGCATGAAACACCTTATGTGGCAGAACGAATGCAATGGAGGTATCTAAGGTTAGCCACATCATATTCAAATTCTGATTAAAACTCTTATAAGGCCAACCTAAACTGTGGAATTTCTACCTTAAAATTCTGACCTATTTCTTCACTTTTCTGTCATATAGTTGTTAAGTTATTTTGAAATATCCTCAAATTTTATTTTTAGAACCATAAATGCTTAACACAACAACTAGTATGCCTGAGGTTCATTTTCGGACCCCTATGGGTCTCTACATTACACTTTGGAAGATATTCTGCCAGAGTATCTGCACTAAGTACTCTCTACTGGGTGTATCTAATAAGGCCAGGTTTTATCTACCAAATGGAACATTATTCTAAGAATTCAGATAAAAACAGAAGCATAATAAAAACAAATAAAAGTGCTTTAACAGCAAAAATTAAATTGGGCTTTTGCTCATGCTACCACATATAAGAAAAAGCATTTTAAAAGTTAGGCACCATATTGTTTTATAAATTAAACATAAATAAGTTTTTCAATTCATTTCTTGAAGAATGTTCTTATTGAGGGTTCCTTACTTTACTGTCTGCCAAGACCCTACAAGCCCTAGGACAGGTAACAATTGTCTAGTTTATGACTTTACCCTTTGGGCCTAGTAAAAAAATTCTTCAGTGAACAGTCAAACTATTCTCTGCTATATTTTATTAAATTTTCACCTAAATTCCAGGAACCCTTAAAACTCAATTATTAGTTCCTGGTAAGTTTTTTGGAGGTAAGAGGGGAGAAGAGATAAAATTTTATGAGATTAAAAAATAAATATTCCTTAATAATTTGGGGACATAAATAAGATGCCTATAACTCTAATTACACCATAAAACCAACACACCCAAACTGAGTATCCGAAGTTTTTACCGATGGAACATGATGAACGCATTTCTAATATAAACTCAATTTTTCTATAAGTGAATGAAATGTTAACAATACTTTTGCAAGATGTAAAACACTATTATTAGCCTGCAGTGTGGAATAAGAGTTTAATTTTACTCTTTCCAGATAGTGTATTGATTTAATACCATTTATTGATTTTTTTGCATTTATGAGTAATACCTGCTTTATCTTAAACCAAGTTTCCACACATGTTGGGTCTATTTCTAGGTTCTCATTCTATTTCACAGAATCATTTTTTTACTCTTGAGCAGTATCAAATTTTAGTTACTCCAGCTTTGTAATACGTATCTGGAAAGGCATGTTGTATCCTATTTATTCTGTCCATTTGCACTGTAGTTCACAATATTTTAATTCATTTTATAATTTTCTTCAAAAAGATATGCTAAAGGCTAGTATAAATGTACACTAAAGGTTTATTCTTGGAAACCTTATAGGCTTGTTGCTATTGTACATGAGAATTTTTTTTGTTTGTTTAAGGAAAGATAATGATTTCTTATTGGGGAAGGTTAGGACTCCCTCCATTATACCAGTCCTTCCTGACTTCTGTTATACACCTGTTATACGCACACACTGATTTACCAGTTAAGTCCATGTCAGTTGCTACTTCCTATTTTTAGACTAGAAAAATACATTTGTGTATACTACAACAAATGGTTACTGATGTTGTAAAAGAGGGGGTGGTCCCCAAGTAAAATAGGAGGGAAGAGAATTAAAATTCACAAAACATGGCACGTCGCTCACGCCTGTAATCCTAGCACTCTGGTAGGCCGAGGTGGGTGGACCTTTTGAGCTCAGGAGTTTTTGAAACCAGCAAGAGCAAGACCCCGTCTCTACTAAAAAAGAAAAAATTAGCCAGGCACGGTGGCACATGCCTGTAGTCCCAGCTACTCAGGAGGCTGGGGCAGGAGGACTGCTTGAGCCCAGGAGTTTGAGGTTGCTGTGAGCTAGGCTGATGTCACAGCACTCTAGCTGGGGCAACAGAGTGAGACTCTGTCTCAAAAAAGAAAAAAAAAAATTTTAATTTTAGTAGAAATACTTCTAAAGTACATTACATATTTGCCTTTTAAAATAAAAATATACAGAGCATAATTTAACCCTTTCATGAGTCATCACACATATTATTAATAATTTAATGTGCTGTAACACAAGTATAGCCTCAGGGGATTGCCCAAATAAATACAGCTCTTTATATTAAGTAGCCAAAGTGCTTTATTTTGAGTTTTTATATGTGATTTATTTGGAGAGAAAAAAGTATTTACACTTTTTAATAAACTAATATATATTCATTGTCAGAACTCAGGACTCTATAGATCAGCCAAAAAGAAAATTAATAGAGTCTATGACCACATAATTCAGAGATAACCTAAATTGTCTGGACTCTTTAGTTTATGGATAAGTTGGTGTAAATAAATATATACTTCAATTTTTTAAAAAGCATGGGACTACACAGGCATATTATTTATAAACCTACTTTAATCTCTTAAAATATCACATCATAGATATATTTTCCTGTTAATACATTACCATCATCATCTTTAATGATGATGTTTGGCCTACCATAACAAAATATCTTAGACTGGGTAATTTACAAACAGAAATTTACTTCTCACAATTCTGGGGCTGAGAAGTCCAAGATCAAGGCACCAGCAGATTTGGTGTCTGGTGAGGGCCTGCTCTATTCAAAGATGTTGTCTTCTTGCTGAGTCCCTCACATGGTAGAAGGAGAAGCAGGTTCCCTCAAGGATCTTTTATAAGGGCAGAGCCTCATGACTTAATCACCTCCCCAAAGCCCCCTCCACTTAATACTATCGTATTGGGGATTTAGGTCTCAACATGTGAATTTTGGGGGGACACACACATTCAGACCATGGCAACTACAAAATACAAAATCTTTTGTTACAGGATATATCATCGTTTATTTTACCCAACTCCCCAGAGAGATTTCTAAAATTTCACAAGTACTAAAAACAATGTGATGAATATTCTTAAATGTGATTATATATACTTTTTAAAGTATTTCTTGATAACCCTCTAAAAATGGAACTCCTGAATCAAGAGCGTATTTTGCCAATATTTCTTCAAGAAAGATTGAAAATGAGGTTTTGTTTCACATTCAATAATATCAGCACTAAAGGCTTATCTCTTTTTCTTGTCCTCACATGTTGTCTAGATTTTTTCTGTTAAGCTTATTCTTAAGTATTTAAAGTTTTTTTTTTTTTTGCAGGCCGGGCTGGTGGCTCATGCCTGTAATCCTAGCACTCTGAAAGGCCAAGGGGGGAGGATCATTTGAGCTCAGGAGTTCGAGCTCAGTCTAAGCAAGAGTGAGACCCAGTCTCTACTGAAAATAGAAAGAAACTGGCCAACTAAAATATATTAAAAAATGAGCCAGGCACGGTGGTACATGCCTGTAGTCTCAGCTACTCGGGAGGCTAAGGCAGAAGGATCACTTGAGCCCAGGAGATTGAAGTTGCTGTGAGCTAGGCTGATCCCACAGCACTCTGGCCTGGGCAACAAAGTGAGACTCTATCTCGAAAACAAAAACAAAAAACAACATATAATGGAGAGTCCAGAAATAAATTCTCACATCTATAGTAAATTGATTTTTGATAAGAATGCCAAGACTATTCAATTGGGAAAGGACAGTTTTTTTCAACAAATGGTGCCAGGAAAACTGTGTATCCACATGCAATAGAATGAAACCTAACCCTTATCTTACATCATATACAAAAATTAACTAAAAATGGAACAGAGACCTAAATATAAAAACTAAACCTATGAAACTCTTAGAAGAAAACATAGGGGCTGAAAATCTTCATGAACTGGATTTCTCAGTGGTTTCTTAAATATGACACACCAAAAAGCACAGGCAACAAAAATAGATAAATGACTTCATCGAAATTAAAAACTTTTATACATCAAATGACACTATCAATAGAGTAAAAAGAAAATCACAGAATAGGAGAAAATATATGCAAATCATGTATTTGACAAAGGTTTAATATTAAACAAAAAATGGGCAAAGGACTTGAATAGACATTTCTCCAAAGAAGATACATAATTGGCCAATATACATATAAAAAAAAGATATTCAATATACTAAGTTATTAGGGAAATACAAACCTAAACCACAATGAGATACCACTTTATGTATACTTGTATGATTATAATCAAAAAAGTAGAAAACAACAAATGTTAATGAAGACATGGAAAAATCAGAATCCTCATACATTGCTGGTAGGAATGTAAAATGGTGCAGCTGCTGTGGAAAACAGTGTGGTCATTCCTGAAAAAGATAAATATAGTGGTGGACACCTGTAGTCCCAGCTACCTGAGATGCTGATGTAGGAGAATCGCTTGAGCCCCAGGAGGAGTTCCAGGCTGCAGTAAGTTATGACTGTGCCACTGCACTCCAGCCTGGGAGACAGAGCAAGATTCCATCTCTTAAAAAAAACAAACAAACAAACAAACAGGCCAGGTGCAGTGGCTCACACCTGTAATCCTTGCACTCTGGGAGGCCGAGGCGGGAGGACTGCTTGAGGTCAGGAGTTTGAAACCAGCCAGAACAAGAGCGAGACCCCGTCTCTGCTATAAATAGAAAGAAATTAATTGGCCAACTAATATACATAGAAAAAATTAGCCGGGCATGGTGGCGCATGCCTGTAGTCCCAGCTACTCGGGAGGC